GATTTAGCTCAGCGGCAAAGCGCCTGCCTGGCAAGCGCAAGGTCGTGAGTTCGGTTCCCGGTACCGGAGGAAAAAAAAAAAAAAAAAAAAAAAAACCACTGCAGGGCGCAGCCCCGCCACGCCGGCACCCAGAAATGCAGGCAGCAGGCGCCCGGGAAGCGGCGCAGAGACGCGCAGCGGAGAAGCGCCAGGCCACAGAGAAGCTCCGACACAAGAGGCCCGCCCGGACACGTGCGCGAACCATCCCGCCATGGAGAAACCCCTGGGAAAACACGCCACACGGCGGGTCACCCTCGGCCCTGCCCTTGAGAGCCAGAGAGGTCCGGAGTCAGCGGAGGAGCAGCCGATGAACGAGGACTCGATCACGAGAGCACCGACGCCCAGGGCGAGCGGACTTGGGGCGCGGGAGCCACTCGGGAGCTGGAAACCAGGAGGACCTTGCGCCATACCTGGGGAGCCACCTGGAGGCCTTCTCCCCCTAACTGTGCAGGCCGCGGTGGAGGAGCGAGCGGAGCTCCGGAGGTCCGCACCGAGACTTCATGGATTACACGGGTGCCCGATATTCAGAGTCTGCAGAACCGCCTTCATGGAGAAGGTGCGTGTCCAGGTTACCCGCCTGGGACACTTTGCACTGATGGTGCTGGGACTGACTAGCGGCCGAGGACTTTATCCACTTCATCCACTTCATCCAGGACTTCATCCTGCCGCCTGTGCCGACGGCTGGGGAGAGGACACCAAGTGGTTGCGGGGTCCCAATGCGCTGCGAGGCCGGAGAGAACGCCCCTCTGCTTGCTTAGACAAGAGGCGCTGATAAAGCATGCTTCCCTGGATCCCAGTGCAGTAGAGGCACAAGCTATTCTTGAGGATGGGCTTGTTGCTCAGTCAGGCCCAGACAGTGGAAGCGCGCTGCGGAGGACGCTTTTGCCCCGGATGGCTCGCTGGAGATGGCGGTGGGAGTGGCCTCCTCAGTGTTTGTGGCCGTGGCAGGGGAGGCCAAGGGCAGAGGGCAGAGAGACCCAGAGGGGGCGGCTGCCTCTGATGCAGCACTGGGAGAGGCAGACCCTGGGTCTGGTTCTGGGGACGCTGGGGGGGTAAGGGGGGGCTCATCGACTGCATTCCTCTGCTGCCGCTGTCGGGGGCCGGGCCATCTCCGGAGGGATTGCCCTGGGAGGCCCCCTGGGCCATGCCCTGACTGTGGGGGTGGCCGCTGGAGGTCAGGCTGGCCTCTGGAGCCGGGACCCCGGGGTTAGGACCCCTCCTACCAGCTGGTCCGGCAGGAATGAAGGGGCCCAGGCATACTCTGCCTTCTCCCTCTGGCCGACCATTGTCTCCAAGGAGGAGCCCCGCGAAATCTTGACTATAGAGGAAAAAGTAGACGCCCCATTGCTGGACACTGGTGCTGGTCTCTCGGTCCTTCTTCTCAGCCCTGGCCTTCCTTCCAGCCTCACACCTCAGGGAGGGGAG